TCCTGCTTCTTCCATCCTAATGGAAGAATTAGGCAAGCAAAAATAATGGTACAATATCTCTGATGGATAGTTCTCCCAATCTTCATCCTGGAGCATAGGATTGCTTCTCCATGCAGGTCTCTGTTTAGATTTTGGGGAAACCTGGAGTCTTTTTTCTTAATGCTTTCTACACTGCTTCTTTCACTTCATGGTTCCTAATCGTGTACATGAAAGGATTTAAAACTGGCACAACTGTAGCATTCACCAAAGAAACAGACTTCATCTTACTGAAAGAAGAGCTCTTGAAAATAGGTCTTAAATGGACAAAAAAGACTGAGCCATACAAAATGGTGACTACAATCAGATGGGAAGCACATGTGGAAAAGGCCCTCTGCTGTCCCGAGGTTGAAGGCATTTGGATAATGGTGGAAATGGTGAAGAGGTAAGAGATGAGGGTGAAAACCATGGAGGACAGTAACTAGGAAGCCAAGGGCTTCAATCACCTGTATATTTCCTCCTGTAACCTTCAACACAGGTCCCGCATCACAATAGTAATGATTGATAATGTTGGAAGTGCAAAAGGGTAGACTTGAAATTTTTACTATCTGATAAAGAATGCAGAAAAAGCCTCCAAACCAGGCTGCTATTGCTAAGTTTCAGAAGTCATGATAGTGGCATATCAATATCAATCGTGGCATATCTCAAAGGATGCCAGATGATATCTCCCCAGGGATATCAAAGTAATGATAAAAAATTCAGTGACACCAAAAAAGAAATAAACATACAATTGTGTTGAACAGCAGCAGAAAGAAATGGTATTCTTTGCAGAGAGATAATTGACCAGCAATTTAGGAACAAAGACGATGGTGTGTCCAATGTCAATGAGCGAAAGGTTGCTAAGGAAGAAATACATGGGCTTCTGGAGGTGGCAGTCCACAATTACCATCACAATGATGAGCCCGTTACCCATTAGACACAGGAGGTAGAGCACAAAGATACCGGCGTACATCACACCTTCCATTCCCCTAACTCTTGCAATCCCACAAGGATAAATGCAATTACTCTTGTGCAGTTGGTCAAATTCATGTTCTTCTTCTGTTAGAAAGAGAGAAGATACAGAATCAATTTTTTTGCTGCCACAATTTTTTTGCTGCCGTGGCTTGTTTGCCTGTATCCCTATCCCATAAGAAACACAATCAATAGTAACATAATTGAGATAATGGATATGCAAATAAATCAAGGACTATAGAAATAGAAAAGCCAAGTTGTTTCTCTCTGTGGGTGAATGTTGGTATGCCAGTAAGTCATAACAACTTCTGCAGTGAATTTCTGTTTCAGATATTCATTCCATAAAACATGGACCTAAAGATCTCTCCACCTTTACCTCGATGTCTTCATACTTCATTACCTGCCTTATTTTCTTCAAATCCCTTTCACTCCATCTCTCTATCCATTCTTCAAGGCAGTGTTTTGAAGAACCTCAGAAAAAGATACATCATGTTTTTGGGGAAAAAATTGTAGACTTCTTGAAATATTATTTTCCCTACTGTTTAAGGGAGATAGAGCAGATTGTGTCATAGAAAGTTTATTTATTGAGTCTCTACAGAACCTCGGGATACAGTCTCATAGGATATTTGCCTTTAATTTCCCATGACTATCCATGCACTATACCTGGAAAATACTTCAGGCTCATATCAACCACATCTGAAGTGCCGTCCAAAGATAGGAGGTCTTCTGGAGGTCCTCTGGAGGCAATCCATCAAGGACAAACTCTGCAGCTCTTTTATAGTTGGTCTAATTAACATTTCTCTTCAACTGCAAAAAGGGAAAATGTAAACCCTTCACTGGTGCAACACTTAATTTTCTAAACTAAGGATGAGATACAATCTCTACAATCTCTAGAGATATTTGTCTCTCAATTCACATAAATACCCATGTACCGTACCTAGAATATATCATTTTGAATCAGCATGACTCATGACTGGTTTTACTTGGACAAAAGTCCAAGTACTATTCCTAGAAATGCAGTCTTCAATATATAATTAACTCTTGAAACTCTCTTTGAAGTCTCAATAAAATAGGGAAGGAACTGATTCGAGATGATGTCCAATAATGATTTTCTTCACCCCTTCCCTTTTTCCCCATTCATTTTTTCATTGAATTCAAGGTGAAGACATTCATGATAGTATCCCCAGGACTTGCAGACTTGAAATCTGCTTGAGGTGCATTGGAGGGAAGGCAAAATAATTTAGGGAATCCAAAGTTTTATAATTTAGTGAAGTGCTTTTCAAACTTGGCAACTTAAGATGGATGGAATAGAACTCTCAGAATTCCCCAGCTGGCATATCTGGTCAGCATAATGAGGACATTAAATCATGCCTTGTGCCTTGTGAAGTTATCATCCAATGATGTATAGTACATTACTGTGTCATATACTGTATGAAATCATGATGTTTATGAAGATTCTCAGTCATCCAGGTGGAATTGTCTGGAGGTTGAGCCATTGCAACTGGACTTCTTTTCTTTTGTCTCTACCAAAAAAGAAATGAAGTCCAGTTGCCATGACTCATCCACCAGATGAAATCATGATGCATTCAATATTGTGTCCCATCCCAGCTCCCCTCAATTCATCTTCCATGAAGATGATGGTCTCCTCATGCCTGGTCGTATTTAGGTGGAGACCAAATTGTATCTTTTTGGGATAGTTACATTTTGACTCTTCCACCAAAATAGGAGCAGGAGGTGGAATTCAATGTCCTAAGTGTCCCCTTCCAACTCTGAGATTTTCTGATGATATAATTCTATGCGGCAGTAGAATTTTGCTTCAGAGTGGAGGCCACAAACTGTGGGATCTAGAATGGACAGAGTAAGTCAGTTCAGATGGAAAATAAAAATGATAACTTACATAAACATAATGATGTACACCATACAAGGATCCTTTTTAGGGTCAAGATTCACTATTTGATTCACTATTTGATTCTGCTTCCGGATAGACACTTTATTCTGTTCCCCAGTTTTTTTTATTCCTGTAGCATTATCTGTGTTCGGTTTGTAATCCTCACAGAAAGTTCATCCGTTTGTAACATTTGGAAAACTCTGCAGATACCCCATCCTACGTGTAAAGGGTACAATGCAGGAACATAAGGACATGAATGTCAACAATGATTTATTTCTTCTCAGATTGACATCCCTCCACTATTTCCCCACAAGAAGTGCTAACAGGGAGGTGACTGACCCAAAGTCACCCGTGAGCTTCCAGGTCTAATGGGGAGCTGAACCTGTCCCTCTCCATTCCAGCCCAACACTTCAGCCACTATACCACACATTTTAGCATGCAG